ACCCACCCTCCACTCTTTGGAGTCACTTGTCGGCTTTGGCCGTCCATCGCCTTCCAGGGGGGTGAAATCCGCTGCTCCAAAGAGTTGAAGCGCTTCAAATCTTTACTGCTGAGGTCCAGGCAGTGCTTGTCAATGCCCCTGGGGCGACGTGTATGGAGTCTGCGGGGACCCGGTGCGGGGGGAGCACCCCCGGACACCCCAACGCGAGGGTGTGCCAGCCGCTGCTGGGGTCCTCATGGCTGCTGCTGGTACTGGCCCTCGGTGGCGGTGAAGAAGTCCTCCAGGACACTCTTCATGTAGTCGAAGGTGGGACGTTCCTCAGGCTGCTCCTTCCAGCACTGCATCATCAGTTCGTACAGCTCCTGCGGGCAGTTGTCCGGCTGCGGCATGCGGTAACCGCGCTCCAGGTTCTGTATCACCTCGGGGTTGGTCATCCCTGCGAGGACAACGCACACAATACTGAATCTGAGTCACCCCCATGTCCCAAGCAGCACCCTACATTTGCAAATCCCACGGGGAAGCTTCCTTCGCCCTCTACTGCCTCTGAAAGCCCCGGTGGCTTTCGGGCCGTGGCTGGCCATGTGCTTCGGGAAGCGGTCGAAACCACTGCGGGTTGGCAGGGAAGGGAGCCAGATGGGGCGGCTGGGAGCGTGTGTGCGTGCGGGAGTGCATGCACACACTCGTGGGTGTGCGCTTGCGTGCGTGTGCGAGCCCTTCTGCCGCGCGGCTGCTGGGAAATCCTGACCTGGATACGGGATCCGGCCGTAGGTGACGATCTCTGTGAGCAGGATGCCGAACGACCAGACATCAGACTTGATTGTGAAAGTCCCATAATTAATAGCCTCTGGTGCCGTCCACTTAATGGGGAATTTAGCCCCTGAAAAACAGCAGGAGAGGAGAAAAGAAAACTTTACGGCTGAGCTGGAAACATCCCTCTCTGTTTAACCTGATGTGACAACCCCGAGTCACTCTCTGTGCCTGCTGTACGCCCGGGGACCAGCTGGCTTTGGTGCCAGCCAGGTCCCCTCTGCCCCCCTGCACTTGGCTAGCTCAGAGCCCCCGGGCATGGGCTGGCACCCCTGCAGCCGGCCAGCATGTCTGTTCCTGCAGTAGCCACCAGATAGGGCTGTCACCCCACCAAAAGCAGAGTCAGGAGGGTATATGGGGTCCCGCAGCCCCCCTCCGGCTGCTCCCCTCTC